TAATTTTATTGCAGGCCAGCATAAAATTAAAACATAAATTTAATAACACATGCATGGTAAGAAAAAATAAATGATAATTTTAAAATAAGAACCTAGAATTAAATACTGGAACAAATAATCTGAGCAGTGCGTATCCTCCACAAGCCGATAGGATTGACTTGTACAAAATATCTTGAATTAAATAAAAAGAACCTAACAAATTATGGAAGATATGAAAAAAAACTAAGGTTGCAGTATCCATCTGATGCAAAGAAATACTGCTTTGATGGAACTGTTTTCTATGCTTACAAGAATTCTACGAAACTGGAAAACAGAGTACTAAAAACTATGAAACTGAAAATAATAGTAAGGTTGCAAAAACTAGAAATTAATAGCAATTACAGTACATAGAAACTAATGAAAATGATGCAAAAGTATGGACCTGAACAATGTTGGTAACTGCCTCCTTTTATAGATTCCAAGCGTGAGTGAAAATAGGAGTTATATCCTGGATTCTCATTCTTCCATAGTTGAGAAGAATCCGCCAACTATCTGTTCCGTCTGCTTCATGGAGAAAATGTTGTAACAGTTATGTGAGTCGTGGCGGGTGTCATGTGCGCTGTGACGTGGGGGACATATCCTCCAATTGTCCCGGTCATAACATAAAGCATGCCGAGGGGCACACTTTTACAAACTTTGCCGAGCGGGACGCGCCTGTGGCGGGCCAGACGCCATCTGGTGCAGAATGCTCTAAAATACTACTAAATGGCTATTTATTCTTCATTTCTCCATTGTTTTTCTTCCTTTTCTCATTTATGCCTTGCAAAAGATAAGTACCTGAAATATACTACAAATACTACAAATAGAGATAAATGTGACATGATAAACGAAGAATCAAAAGTTTAATCTATGTAAATCAGGCAGAAAATGGTATATCTTTTCGTGTTATCAACACCAAGGAGACAATTTACCAATATCAACATGTCGTAGTCTCAGGCATTACAAAACCTATTGAAGGTGGAGCTGATAATGTTAAGAGATCCTCCTCAAAATTCCAACACCTCCTCTCCTCGATACAATCCTAATGTAAGATATTCCTGGGCTTTGACACAAATAGCTGTTGGGCTTTGAAAAATAAAATTCAAGATATGATTGACTCCAAAGAGATTGTATTTGATCCTCCCGAGACCCCCAATGTGATTATTGCACCTATGCCTAAGCACGACAAAGGCATTAATGTCATTGATGATGTTTCTTATGTTTATACTGTAAGTGACTTGACTACTCCCCTCCTGATTATTAAGAAGAATCTGCTGCAAGCTGGTTTACTTACAGGTTTCATTGAAAGATGCTACTGCTGTGCAACCCAATCCAATGGCTACAAACTGCTCAAAGAAGGTATTCAACGTCTAATGGATAACCATATAATTCTAGTTAAGAAGACTCCTTCTATGGATAATTTGTTTCAAGACTTGGAGCTTGAAAAGGTGTATGTAATTTCCGGAACTCTAGTAAGGATTAGTACCAAAGGCCCTGAGAAGACTACGACTGAACTTAATGTTACTCTTCTGGTTATTACCACGCTCGGACCAATCATGTATTCCTCTGACAAGGCTATCCCTTGGAATTATGGGGTTGATGTTTACTATCATGGTGTCAAGAAAGAACCATTAACTGTCAAAAGTGGAAATACTGAAGTTACTGATTCCAACATTGGCAATATTGTTGGGACTAGTAAAGTTACTAGAAGTGGAAGGGTTTTCTCTCCAGAGATCTCTCTGAAGACTGTTACTACACCAGTTCATGTTACTGCTACTGAGTCAACTACTGAGACTCGAGGTAAAGAACACATGACTGAGCCTGTCTAGACTGAGGCACCTAAAGAGATTACCGCTTTAGATACTTCCAGGCAAGAGATGAAGGAAGTATTGAAACTCATCCGGAAAAGTGACAACAAGATTGTTGAACAGCTAGGCAGACTCCCTCCAAGATATCCATGTTATCCCTGTTGTTATGATCTGAAGCTAATGCCCAGGCTTTGGTGAAGTTCTTAAAATCTTCTCACGTACCGCAGGAAATTTCTGCTGGCCAATTCGGAAATTATGTTTCTAGCCTGACAATTGATAATGGGTTAGGCTTTTCTGATGTTGATTTGACTTCTGAAGGAAGAAACCATAACAAGGCCCATGCTGAAACAACCGGCGGAAAATCATCAAACAATGAAGTCGCCATCGAACGTCTTTTATCCCACATGAAGGGAAAGGTAAACATCGAGAAAACCTGATAAGGGAGAAGCCATGTTTTGCAACCGAGAGATCGGGTAAGGGAGTATGTTACGCGAGGGGAAGGTATTAGTACCCCACACGCCCGTAGTACTCTATGATATCCAATCTTGTTGCCGATCTTATGGGTGTGTTTAATCTATGCTTACTGTTTATTACTAAGGAAGAATGCATGCAAAATAAAGGATAAAATAATGTAGGGAAAATAAATTTGTACTTGCTTAGGCCCTACCCAAATGCCTACGTATCCTTTTTGAGGAATCAGAGCTACCGTAGTTCGACTCACAAGTTTTTGTTTGTTTGGTGTTTTTTATGGACGATGTTAATTCCGCCTTCTTCCACAGCTCGACCTTTGGAGACTTATGCATTGGCACAGAAGTAAATTAATCATGTCCTTTCTTGAAAATGCTTTCGAGTTACGCCCTCGAGGCAAGATGTCGCATTTGATTGATTTGTATTTTGTTACCTTGGAAAAGGGTATAAGTGGGATTAACATGTTTTATGATTTGCTAAAAAGAAAGTTTTAGCTTCGGATGCATATGCAAAAATAGGGAGAAAAGAGTCTAAGGGGGACTAGCCTATTTCTAACCTAGTGTTATCATATAATTGTGGCCCTACGTCAAGGATCAAAGGGAAACGCCTACCTAATGTTAGCATGCATGGTTTTCAACCTAAGGTCTAACTCGCATCCGAACGGAGAAAGTGCGTCCTAAGGGAACATGGTATGTACAAGGATAAAGCAAACAATCTTAAAGAAGCACACACATAAAAGAGTAAGGAAAAGAAGAGAAATGCTTTATCCTAGGGGAGCGTATCACCTAAGACAAACAAGCGGGAGTGAGATGAAGAAACAAAAAGTGATGTCCAAAGCGACTGAACACCTAACCAGGATATAAGAGATCGAGGTAAGCGACAAAAGACAATATGAAAAATCACGGAGTATTAGCATCGACCAATGCGAACTCCTTACAAAGCATGGAGGTTCGATTGCGGAACCCTTCCCCACTTGACGACTCTATATACAAGAGCAGGCACAACTCCGAAGCTTTGTGGTGTGTCACGAGCTAAGGATGACATGGACGAAATTTCCGTGGTTGATTGCTAACCCTCCCCGCTCGCCTCCTTTTGAGGACTTCAATAAGGGATGGGGAATAGTGCAGGCGCAAATATAAACACACTTGCAGAACACCTACTCAAAGGTAGGGTTTTAAACAAACTACACACAAGTAGCACCCAATGGCAAACAATGTGGAATCGCCTTAAACGGGTCTTTAAATAAACCAGAGGGGTTCCTGATATGATCAACAACAGAGACCCCCGTCATACATCTCTACCCTACTTCTCATGGAATCAGAAAGCAGTAAAATCCTACTTCTCATTATATCTAGAAAAGCGGTAAAGAAGTACAATAAATTGCATAAATGAGGCACACAATAAATTTGTGATGATACTGAACGGAGAAAGTCCGTTGCCTCTTCCAAACCCCGCAAGCAATAAGAAAACTTTATTAAAAGCTTCCCTGGAGGGACGAGATACTTCTTCGCTTGTTATAATATCCAAGGAACTTTTAATCGAAATTTAAACGATAAAATTACAATAATTAGTAACAAAAGTATAATGTCCAACAAAAGCGATCCAAGGCCTCCACGTGTACCTATTAACATCTACACAAAATTTTAGCAAAAAATCATGAAGGAATCATCATCAATTAATTGCACAAAATTAATAACCAAATGAAGATTAAAGGAAAAGCCAGGTGGTGTATGGATCAGGCAGCGGGGTTGCAAAATAACAGCCCATTCTAGAATGAGGTCCATTAACATTTTTTGTACAATCCACATGCTCTTAAAAAATTCCCTTTGGGCCAAGAAGAGGGTGGATCGGTCCAAGGAACATACGATACCATTCCATATTGTTTCACTTACTAATATATATTAAATAAAAGTAAAACTATAAGGAAAAAAGGAAATCTAAATTAAAAAAGTATTAGGGTTCAATGTCTGTCGTTTGGACATCTTTGACCCTCTTCCTTTCTTGCGGTGCCGCTAGCCCCTTCTCTACTCCGATAAGCTTCGTCAGCTCCGATCAGATAACGCCTCTATGTCGGCATCATATCTTCCTTTGTGATCCTGTTCGCCTTCGTCTCAAACTCTTTATCATCGGTTTCACCATAGAGCCCCCGTAAACACTCCGCTCATTACCTAACCTCCGTCTGACTTTGATTTCATTTTCCATCTGTTCATAATTCAAACTCTTCTCTGACGAACTTAATCTGTTTAACCTTCAACGTCTAAACCTCTGTCATTTGTTCATGATTCGAGGAAAACTCGTCTTCGTTCTGATCCTTCGACCGAAGAAGCATTCTTCATGAAATCCAAAGAAATTCAAGAGAAAATCTGATGCGCGACATCATCGTGAGTTTCGTTTCTTTACCCTCTCTACTTCCTTCAACCTTGCAATTCTGAATAAATTGGTAATGCTGTTTTTGATATTCATAGTATATCGATTGGGATAGAGAAAGATGATGATGACAATTTTGTTATTGCAATATGCTTGAAGAGGAAGCACTGAAGTTTTTGTGATGAATCGGATAAGCCGCAGAGATCAAGATTCAACGTTATTGACAAAGATTTGTAGAACAGTTATGTGTTGATGAAGTTTGAAGAAGCGAAGAAGGTTTAGGGAAGAAGATGATGGAGTTTTGTGTGATGATGATGTTCTTGCAACTTGAAGCAGAGAATGGGAAGTATTGATGATGGAGTGATGTTGTTGTGCAGAAACTGCGACGATAATGGTGAAGATGAAGGTCGTTGGTGTTTCAAAGACGTGAAGGGTGAAAATTGATGATGATCTAAGGAATTGGTTACAGAAGAGGGATGAAGATTGACGGTGATGTATGAAGATTGAAGATCAATCAGACACAAATTTGAGAAGTTTGGAGAAACAGTTTCAGAGAGATTGAAAGTTTTCTAGTGAGTTTTTCTACTGATTTTCTGTTAGCCATCTATTATTTGTTATCCCCATCTTTCTTCTCTTATTTGTTAGCTCTTTTTATTTTTGAAGTGAATCGTATCCTCCTCCCTTTCTGTTACATTCTTTTATCTGATATCCCCCTCCTTCTTCTCTTATTTGTTAAATCTGTTAGGGACAGTTAGAATTTCTGTTAGAAGAGTGAGAGTTAGTTACAATTGGTTAGGAGGATAGTTAGAGATAGATTAGTTGGCATTTCTGTTAGGCTAGAATTTTTGGTTAGAAATTCTGTTTTGGTCTGCTGTAACTGTTAGGGAATGTTAGTTACAGTTGACAGTAACAAATTGGTTAGAAGAAGTTCTGTTGGGAAATTGGTTATAGGTTAGAAAAATTATGTTTTACGGTTTTGAAACTTTGTTATAGGGTTAAATGAATTATGTTATGACAGTTGGAAAATTGGTTAGAAGAAGTTTGGTATATGATATTTTAAATTATCTTGTATTTTCTTTGACTTCCTTCCTTGAACTTAGTGCAGTGCCGGTTTTGAATCGGTTTGGATTGTTTTTGCAAAGGCTGGGAAATTCTTTCCTCTTCATATGTATTTCTATTTTCTGATTTTATATTCTCCAGGCAACAGCTGGTTTGGTACTTCGATTCGGGGCTGCAAATGTTAATTGGCTATATGGGTTTTTTGGACTGTTTTTTCTGTTTGCATCTGTTTCTTTTGTTTACTGGTGTACGTTATGTGCAGGATGCAAGATCCGGTTTTTGTAATGAGCAGTATAAAGCATGGCACTTAGTGATGAGGATGGACATGGAGATGGATCCGTATGGCATGGAATGACGTTCGGTTAGAGCTTGAAACATGGAGGATGATCAGGATTAGAATAGCTTCTAATTGTTGTGTAATGTTCCATGTGTGTAATGGTATATTGGAAACTGTAATGTAAATTATATTGAGGTTATGGTATTTTGTAATGGCTAGTAATTTCTTCTCCTTCATGTAACTATTCAAAAGTGTAAAGAAAAATGGATTATAACTTGTATGCCTTTTGAATGAATTTGAATGAGATTTGATGAACCTTGATTGAAACCTTGAATGTTGTTAGATAACATGAATGGAACATGAATGATTATATGGAATACGACTTGATGTGAATGAACGAAAGGCATGGCCATGAATTTAATGAATTCCTTTGTAACTTTGGTGCGTTTGCCTTATAATTTATTTGTTATCTCTCAAGAAATCCATATGACCAATCTAAATACGTTTGCATCTTAAGAACATTGACCTAGTTAATTAACTTTGAACATATTAAAAAGCTTGAGTGAATACTTCCAAAGAATGAATTCCAATAAGTTCTCACTTCTTAGAGAAACCATAATTTTTGAATCTCAAATCCTCATAACTTGCATTATAAGCAACAATCAATTGAAAGAATAATGTTAATGTCTTGAATCCACAAATCCTATCCTGTAACACAGTGACCATGCCTTGAGGAATCCTTCGAAACTGAATCCTTGATGAAACCCTAGCATTCACAATCCTAACGCGCTTAGTTCTTGAAGTAACTTTGATACAAATGTCTATGCCTCTTGATGAACTTGGAGGAAGATACCCTTGTAGCCTGATAAGAAATAAGTCCACAACAACCACAAATCAAAACCATATCTTCAACCATGACTACTGAAGAAATGACTTGAATCTCTTGAATGAAGTTAAGAGACTCAAAGCCATACAGAAACCCTAATTTTTCAAGATCTTTGAGCCCATATTTAATTTATTGGTTAATGATGCATGACATGCAAAATGACCTAACGGGAGGGTATGCAGATGAAACAAGGACAAAATGCGTAAGCCAGATAAAAATGGAAGGGCAAGACAAATTTGGGGTATTATAGCTGCCCCTATTTAATCGTCTTAAAGCTGAAAGTACGATTGGCGTATGCCTTTCGGACGTTTGAGGTAGAATATGATTAAATGCCAATGCCCAATAATTTGTTCTGAGAGAAAGTACGAGTGTTCATTTATTTTTGTGATATCTGTTGGGGAAAGAATTTCTTTCGTTTTTTCAGTGAAGAGACAAAGGTTGGACTTATAACGTGGTGTGATGCCAATAAAAGACAAAGGTTGGTACGAAAGGACGACAAATAAGGTCTACGGGCGACCTACAATCCTAAGGTGAAACATGAAAGTGATTTGTTGGAGAACCTAACCTATGGGCGATCTTAGGTTTTGAGACAATATTTATGGGAAGAACCTAGCCAATAGGTGATCTCGGGTTCTAAGATGATCGATTGGAAGAACCTAGCCAATGGACGATCTTAGGTTCTAGGATGATCGATTGGAAGAACCTAGCCAATAGGCGATCTCAGGTTCTAAGATTATCTATTGGAAGAACCTAGCCAACGGGCGATCTCAGGTTCTAAGATGATCTAAGGAAGAACCTAGCCAACGGGTGATCTCAGGTTCTAAGATGATTTATTGGAAGAACCTAGCCAACTGGAGATATCAGGTTCTAAGACGATCTATTGGAAGAACCTAGCCAACAGGCGATCTCAGGTTCTAAGATGATCTGAGGAAGAACCTAGCCTACGGCCGATCTCAGGTTCTAAGGTGATCTAAGGAAGAACTTAGCTGACGGGCGATCTCAGGTTCGACGATGATCTATAGAAAGAACCTAGCCAACGGGTGACCTCAGGTTCTTAGATGATCTAAGGAAGAACCTAGCCAACGGGAAATCTTAGGTTCGACGATGATCTATAGAAAGAACTTAGCCAACAAGCGACCTCAGGTTCTAAGATGATCTAAGGATGAACCTAGCCAATGGGAGATCTCAGGTTCGATGATGATCTGAGGAAGAACCTAGCCAACGGGCGATCTAATATTATAAGAAGATCTATTGAAAGAACCTAGCCATCAGGCGATCTCAGGTTCTAAGATGATCTGAGGAAGAACCTAGCTTACAGGAGATCTCAGGTTCTATGATGATCTAAGGAAAAACCTAGCCAACGGGAAATCTCAAGTTTGACAATGATCTATAGAAAGAACCTAGCCAATGGGTGATCTCAGGTTCTAAGATGATCTAAGGAAGAACCTCGCTAACAAACGATCTCAGGTTCGACGATGATCTATAGAATGAACCTAGCCAACGGGCGACCTCAGGTTCTAAGATGATCTAAGGAAGAACCTAAGCAATGGGCGATCAGAGGTTCAACGATGATCTATAGAAAGAACCTAGCCAATGGGAAATCTTAGGTTCTAAGATGATCTATAGGAAGATCCTAGCCAACGGACGATCTCAGGTTCTAAGATAATCTATGGAAGAACCTAGCCAACGAGCGATATCAGGTTTGATGATTATCTGAGGAAGAACCTAGCCAACAGGCGATCTCAGGTTCTAAGATGATCTATTGAAGAACCTAGCCAACGGGCAATCTCAGGTTCTAAGATGATCTGAAGAATAACCTAGCGAATGGGCGATCTCAGGTTCTAAGATGATCTATTGGAAGAACCTAGCCAACGGGCAATCTAAGGTTCTAATATGATATATCAAAAGAACTTGGCCAATGGGCTCTCTCAGGTTCTAAATCGAGACCTACGGACAATATTCTAAGGGAGACCTACGGGCGTTCTATAAGGAAATCTAGATTTATGGTCGATCTATGATCCTAAGGTAAGACCTATGGGCGGTCTACCAAAAACTAGGTCTACGAGCGACCTTCAAGAGAATCTAGATCTAGGTAGATCTAAGATCCTAAGGTAAGACCTACAGGCGATCTACCAAATTACTAGGTCTACGGGCGACCTACAAGGAAATCTAGATCTACGGTTAATCTAAGATCCTAAGGTAAGACCTACGACAGTCTACCAAAAACTAGGTCTACGGGTGACCTACAAGGGAATCTAGATCTATGATCGATCTAAGATCCTAAGATAAGATCTACGAGCGATCTACCAATAACTAGGTCTACGAGCGACCTACAAGGGAATCTAGATCTATGGTCGATCTAAGATCCTAAGGTAAGACCTACAGGCGGTCTACTAAAAACTAGGTCTACGGGCAACCTACAAGGGAATCTAGATCTATGATAGATCTAAGATCCTAAGGTAAGACCTACGGGCGGTCTACCAAAAATTAGGTCTACGGGAGACCTACAAGGGAAACCAATTCTACGGTCGATCTAAGATCCTAAGGTAAGACTTACGGGCGGTCTACCAAAATTACTAGGTCTACGGGCGACCTATAATTCTAAGAATGCAGGAGTGTTGGTCATGACACGATGATCGAAGATGCGAGAATGACCAAGTTCATTGCATTTGTTAGGATTTGAAGATGAAGGTCACCGACTGGGGATATTGGAAGCGATACCCTCTTTTGGGGATGTATTATTGTCCTTGAATGATCCAGGTCTTTCGTGTAAGGTACCTGCTCTGGCTTATGCTTCGTATGTATGTTTGAATTTTTTTGACGTAAAGATCCATTCTGATGGATCTTCTACTCGCTTTTGAATATGCAATGTTATGTAATGATAACTATATGAAAATGAAAAGAAATAGACTTCACGAGGATAAGCTAAGGCCCGTTGGGAATTGCTGCTCATCATCGGGGATGCCAATACATATCGGCGCTGGAAACATGCAGTACCAAAGATTGCTAGGGATACATATAGGAATTTGTACTGGGGAGCTCGGGATACTGAAGATCATTGGTGACTTCGCTGGAGATTTAATTGCTAACAAAGTGAGTTTTCAAGTACGCCACTGAATTTTGAATTGTGTTGTTGGGAAAGAGATAATTTGGCTATAATTTCATATATCCTGAACCGCTTGGAGGATGGTAGAACTGAATATGCCAAAGAATGGATATTGAACACCATGTGGATCTCTTCGAATTCATGCCTCAATTTTACACCCTACTGGGGATTACCTCTTGAATCACTTGGGGATAAAATATGGGCATGGACACCTACGAATGCCCCGGTTTAGCTCTGCGAATGCCCCGATTTAGATCCACTGGGGATGCACTTGATTAACTCCATTGGGGATGCACTTGATTAACTCCACTGGGGATGCACTTGCGCGTGATGAGTCAAACAGTGACTCTGAACTTTTTGAATTCACTTGGGGAATCAGGTTTGAAATTTTCTGTAGCAAATGAAGGCAACTTCGTGCACTGGCTAGGTCAGGGTGACCGTTATGACGCATTTAGCTTGATTTGTCTTGCACAACATAATTGGCTTGAGAAACTTTGCAAGTACGGATATAGAATGCCCCTGTTTGGAGGATCTCTGAGAAGATCTATGCTGAATAGAAGACTGTAATACCCGCACCACAATACGGTATGAGGTGGCCTGCCCTAATCTCTTGAATCAGGAAATAAATTGGTCTTGGTTACAACTTCCTTGGAGAGATTTGTCAAATCTCGACGTAACTGCCCCGTGTAGAATGAATTTTGAATAGATTTCTCGACGTGATTTCCCCAGACTGATGGCAACTTGAAGATATTTATTGACGTGATAGCCTCTGATTGATAGCTTTGAGGGAATACCCCATATTTGGCTGAACTTAGAGAGATCGACTCTCGACTTAATTTCCCCAGATTGGCGGAATCTGCTAACTTCATCCCTAAAGGGTACTCAGAATGTGAAGCACCAAGATGCTTTCTCTTGACAAAATCACTGGTTAACATGCCCCTGGATAAGTCATTTTACTTGTGGCAGCTGACTCTTGCTTCAATAGAGTATTCAAGCCTCTCTTCTCTGACAATATTGAGCTCTTTACCAATTGTTCATTGTGTAAACATACTTGATGTCAATCAGTTGTTTTGTATGCAAAAGAAT